TGTAAAATAGCTCAAGCTCTGTCAGATTGGATGGAGAGCATCTGTGAACAGCAGTTTTCAAATTTTGCTACAGATTCTCAAATGGATTTAGGTCTTGACATTGACTGAGCCATTCTAACACATGAATATGCTTTGATCTAAACAATTCCATTGTAGCTGTGGCTATATGTTTACAGTCTTTTGCAGACTCTAACTGGTTTTCTTCTACAATTGCCCTGTATTTGGCTTTATCCATCTTCCCATTATTTCTGAGCAGATTCCCTGTTCCTGCTGAAGAAAAGCATCCCCACCACATGATGCTGTCACCACCATGTTTCATGGTGGGGATGGTGTGTTCAGGGTGATGTGCAGTGTTAGTTTTCTTCCACACATTTTGCTTCTAGGCCAAAAAGTTCAATTTTGGTCTCATCTGACCAGAGCACCATCTTCCACATGTTTGCTGTGTCCCCCACATGGCTTCTCCCAAACTGTAAATGGGACTTCTTATGGTTTTCTTTCAACAATGGCTTTCTTCTTGCCACTTTTTCATAAAGGCCAGATTTGTGGAGTGCATGACTAATAGTTGTCCTGTGGACAGATTCTCCCACCTGAGCTATCTCTACATCTCCTCCAGAGTTACCATGGACCTCTTGGCTGCTTCTATGAGTAATGCTCTCTTTGCCTGTCAGTTTAGGTGGACTGCCATGTCTTGGTAGGTTTACAGTTGTGCCATACTCTTTCCATTTTCGGATAATGGATTGAAGAGTGCTCCGTGAGATGTTCAAAGCTTGGGATATTTTTTTAAACCTAACCCTGCTTTAAACGTCCCCACAACTTTATCCCTGACCTTTCTGGTGTGTCCCTTGGCCTTCATGATGCTGTTTGTTCACTAATGTTTTCTCACAAACCTTCACAGGGCTTCACAGAACAGCTGTATTTATACTGAGATTAAATTAGATACAGGTGGACTCTATTTACTAATTAGGTGACTTCTTTAGGCACTAGATTTTAGTTAGGGGTATCAGAGTAAAGGAGGCTGAAAACAAATGCTCACCACACTTTTCAGATATTTATTTGTAAAAAAAAATTTTGAAAACCATTTGCTTTTTCCTTCCACTTCACAATTATGTGCCACTCTGTGTTGGTCTATCATATAAAATCCCAATAAAATACATTTACATTTTTGGTTGTAACATGACAAAATGTAGAACATTTGCAGGGGTATGAGTACTTTTTCAAGTCACTGTAAAGCATTTATTTCTGATACAAGGTCCTTTGTTTATTTTTGAACATGTTGTACTTCAACACTGAAAAAAATGACACAAAAAATGAAAATGAAAAAAAAGTGTAATATTAATGATACAAAAAAGAAATAAAAAAATCACCAGAAAAATAATAGCTATTGGTAAGAAAGGAAGACAAAGTTAGCAAGGGCTTTACCATTCATTAAATAAGGTAAAGGGTTACAATGAAATTCAATTTATTAAACAAATAAAACTTTTTTTTCTTTACTTTTTATTTACCTTTAACTGATGTCATATGCAGATCAAAGGTCACACCTTATTTCATCTACATATGAATGAAATTGTAAATACATTCTAAAAATGAATACACTGTATTACTGTCTACCTGCAAGTGTCATTTAACACAGAAGTGTCTGCATTTTGATAGCCGTTAATGCTATGTAACACAAAGTAATGCAACCTATATATGAGCCAGTATTGTTTTGCTCAGCTGACTCAAACTGAGTTTCTGATTTTTGGTTTCTGATCTTTGTAGTAGGCTATTTCAAAAAGATGACTGGAGGGGGTAGATGCAACATGATCAGTGGGATGATAAGAGAGCAAAGGAAGCCGAGTTTTCCTGCTATCTCTGTTAATGTTTGTATCAGGCTGTGAACATTGCTTAGTCATGGCAAAATTACTTTTAATTGTCCAGTTTGAAAACCTATACTGCAAATAAGTGTAAAGAAGAGTAATCCCTGGTGTATTTTGGAAAATTGTTGTACAACGTTGTATATTCTTTTGGGAAACGAAGGCCTTTATAAGGCATTGTTCACTACCACATACATGGAAGCAGATGACAAGCAATACCTTTGATGAGTGAAGCACTGTCAAAGTTTACTCTCAGGTATTTTGTATATTTATTTTACATAGGATAGCTATAGTAATACATACAGAATAACCAATAATGATATTTACAGTCCTGCCTGCAAAAATAATCAATACTGTTTCAAGAATATGTCATATATGGAGATACTCCTCTTATTGATCTGCAGAAAAATGACAAAAGATATGAAGGGCAATTGAAGAATACAATTCTAACTATGAATGAGATATAGGGTTGAAATACAATAAGAGTTGAATTACTAAAAAAATGGATATTGCTCACTTAGCAAAGTGGATGTTCAGCTAAGTGTTCCTGTTTTCAATTTGAATACCCAATCATGTTCCAGAAAATTAATTATAAAACAGAATTTTTACTTGCAAGTGATTGGTTGATTGAAATGAGCAGTAGTAAACTTTCACTTTGCATAGTAAACATATTCTTTCCAAAGTAAGCATTTACTGTACTTTTTGAACAGTTGCTATTGCTTTATAAAATCAACAACAAAGTTTTTTTTAACTTTATCTACGATATTGTTGACCTTTTATGGTTAAAAAAAAATTTTGGAAGGCAAGACAGATTTTCATGTGTTTTAAAAATATTTTTCCTATTCCTAAAGAAATTTTAAAATACCAAACATTTTAAATGATTTCTGCTCAAAAAAGTGGAACTAATTAATTGTGAAAATAATAGTACGCCATGAATTTTATAACAAAAAAGTAAGGATAGCTATTGCATAATAAAATAACAATTTTTCATTATTATTTTTGAATGATCTCTTCTTCCTAACTCCATTTAACTCCATTTAAAAGGTTGGTAAATTAATATAATTAGCATATTCTAAACTATATTATTATCTATTTTATATTAATTAACATAAAATGTATTTAATAATAACTAATAGTTAACTGAGAGGGTTACTTAGTTCTCTTGGGACTCTCCTGCCTAGGTTTTTGAGATATGGGAAACAAGAAAGTACAGTTACATCACTAAAAGCTAAATTAACATATGTCTCAAACTGCTGGCCAACCCATGCGGATCTGCTGCTTTACACGGCACAAAATAAGAAAAGAAGTTGAGATATTCACAGCCATTTACAGTTTGCAGCAACCTAGTGTTGTTATAATTGTTGTTTCCTTTTAAATGCCAAGTTAAAGTAGAAGAGAAAAGAAGAATTATGCTATTGCTGACCTTCTTAAATTACTAGCTGTGTGGCTGCTATGTTGAGCTTTTCGCTTCACATGGCAGGTCATTGATACAGATAGGGATTTTCAAACTAAAGTCAGAAGTCCTTATCTCACATAGTAAGTCTCACATAGTTAGACAGGTTTAAAAAAAGACAAGATAGTCCATCGAGTTCAACTAAAAAATAATTGCAAAGCTCCGTATACAGAACCATATACTCACGATTGGTCCAGAGGAAGGAAAAAATCCTTAAAAAATATGGCTCAATATGTTGCATAGGCAAAAAAAATGCTTCCTGATTCCCTAAGGCAACTTGATATATCCTGGATCAACAATCTCTGGAGATGCTATATATAAATGTGATTTCCCAGCTACTATATTTCTGTGCATGTAGGAATGCATCCGGAATTTTTTATAAATAATCAGCTGATCTGGCTAAATTTAGTTCCTAAGGAAATTCTTTCCGCAGTTTCACAGCTCTTACTGTGATGAAGCCTTTCCATATGCAGAGGTTAAACCTCTTTTCCACCAGAAGCAAAAAGTGACCTCTTTTTCCATTGCAATGACCTTTTCTACATACTTGTTTTTGGTTAGTGAAGCCACGCAGTTAAAATGAAAACCAGAAAACAGAGAATGATAAGTCTGCAATGAAAGCCTCAATTAATTTCCCAGGAAAGGTCTTGGTCTTTTTTACGAAAAAAAAAAAAAACAGTTTCTTTTGCCCTATATGTATGAAATAAATAGAGGTTTACATTGCTGCCAATGTACTAACCCCCTAAACTTGGGATTCAGTCATTTTGTTAATTGATATTATCCCCAAAGCACATAAAAGACAAGAAAAGTGAAAGCAGACCAAAGAACACAAAACATTCCATTTATATTTTATGAGCTTTAAGAAATGGACTAAAAAGACACATCAGTGACTGCTCACATAAGATACATAAAGTCAACTTTTGTTTTCTTCTAGGATGAATTGATCCAGATGCTATGACAAGGAAATCATAATATGTTTGAACTCCAGGCCAAGCAAAATGCAAATACATGTTTTGAATGGCTAAACATCTCCTGTCCCATTCCTAACAGGCCTTTTCCTATTGACCTTGCCATGAATATTATCATGTTTGGAACAGTAGCCTTCACAGTGGCAGGGAATCTTTTAGTGATTGTTTCTGTAACTCACTTCAAACAGCTTCACACTCCAACCAACTTCCTCATATTATCCTTGGCATTTGCAGACCTTCTCCTTGGACTAGTTGTAATGCCGTACAGCTTGGTGAGATCTTTAACTTCATGCTGGTATTTTGGGGAACTGTTTTGCAAACTTCACAGCTGTATTGACATGACATTGTGTACAGCCTCCATATTCCACCTCTTCTTCATTTCTGTTGACCGATACTTTGCAATATGTCACCCTCTTCATTATCACAGGAAAATAACAATATCTGTAGTTGAAGTGTGTTTACTGATTAGTTGGACCATTCCATGTGTGCATTCATTTGGCCTTGTTTTTTCCAATGTTCACATGGAAGGTTTGCAGGAAAGTAAACCTCCCCCAGATTGCTGTGATTCGTGCTCCCTTGTTTTTAACAAACTATGGAGTATAATCACATCATTGCTGTCTTTCTTTTTTCCAGGTTGCCTCATGATTGGAATTTATATACGTATTTTCTCAGTTGCAAAAAAACAAGCCAAGGCGGTTAATAACCATGTTAGATCTGTACTTGAAACAACAAGTACTAGGAATAAAATCTTAATAAAAATAGAAAGTAAAGCAGCAAGGACTTTAAGCCTAGTGATGGGGGTGTTCATATTGTGCTGGATGCCCTTTTTTATTACGACTATAGCTGACCCATACCTTAATTTCTCAGTATCGGTAGATGTTTATAATATTGTATTATGGCTTGGTTATTTCAATTCTGCACTCAATCCTATTATTTATGGTCTATTTTATCCATGGTTTAAAAAATCATTTAAGATCATACTTTCAGGTAAAATACTACATGCAAATTCTTCTTCCATTTGTGTGCTGGCTAAGCTGTAAACCAGTTATATGTGTCACAATACCAGATTAACCTTGTTGCTCTTATTTAAAGGGATTTCTAGCTCAGAATGATGAAAGATGCATGTAGTGCCTTACAGGGTCACCATTGGAAACTGTGGGCCCCCATACATACTGCCTGACAGTGCTTCTAATCTGCTGCACAAGACAGCACAGCTGGCTAATAAATTTGTTATACAGAAAAAAGGCTTTTAATACCTTATTGCCTATACACAGTAATCTAGAAAGCTGTGGCTCCCAGCAAATAAAAAACAAAATCCCCAGGCAGCAAGGCCTTATTATTTCAGCAACAGGATCCTGGAATAGAGAGAGGACAATTTGCTCATTTTCAGGATCAGGCAGAGTAGTCTTCTTTGCTGAGGCTTTGAAAATGTAATTGAAGCTCTGGCCTGCCTGGCAGAATTTAATTTAATTGTCGGGACCATGGCAGGGATGATTACTCTACTTGCTCCCAAAAAATAGTTAATAGTCCCACTCTGTCACTGGCTCCTTCTGCTCAACTGAAGGGGCCTGGGAAGTTTTATTTAAAGAAGAAATTTGGGGTTAAAAAAAAAAACAAGCATACATACTTACGTCTACATATACTACAGCATCAGTGTAATGCTGCAGTTGTCCCTCACCAACTCTAAGGTTTGGAACTGAGCGATCACATGACCAATAATTACCCAGTTCTTGGTCTTTTTGGAGCAGAGTAGTGACTGTCAGTCACTGCTCTACCCTTCCACAGCCAGTTTGGGGTCTCATCCACATTCTGTGAGGCAGGGTCTGCTGTCAATCAGGCAGCTGGGTGGATCCTGACAATAAGGTATGGATCCTGGAGCAGCCCTGTGACATCAGCTGGCTTTAGCCTGCTTTTGGGTGATTTTCGATCATAGGAGCGCAATAGTAAGTGCACTTCATGACCCAGAAAAGCTTTAGCCATACTTCTCCTTTAATCACTGGGAGCCGCAGCCCCTGGAATTACTTTGCATGTGTCCAAACGTATTTGAAGAGTCCACTCTCTGCTTTCGTACAGGAGGGCTGGCTCTACCCTGCTATGCATGGCCCTGGTATCTTATAGCACAGAAGGGTTCTGTTTCATCTCTGGGAGCAAGAGCCACAGTTTTATATTTAACCTTCACTACTATTTTCAGGTAATGTTTGCTACTGAAACATGACCAAAATGATTATCTATGGTTGTCTAAACAGACTTACCTTAATTCAAGTGTAAGCAACAGGGAGAGAATGCTTTGAATGTTGTAATGAGAGGCCTATGAAAACCTGCTGCTGCTAGAGAATTCAGCTCAAATCTATCTTAGAGTGCTGCTGACACCAGAACCTTGCCCGATTAAAACCTCAACTCTAACTAGGAGGTTTAGATTTAACAAGTAGTAGAACACATTAGCAGCAGCCCCAGAAAACTAGAAGAAAGCATTTGAATTTTTAAACTGGCCAGGGTTTAGCAGGGACCAGACAAGATTCGATCCATCTATGGGCGGGCTGGTTGTTCTGAAGTCAATCAACTTCACTACAACTAGCCTGTTGGATTTTTTGCATGTGATTGCCATTGCCGCCAACAGTAATCATTGTGTTTTCCTGGCAGGGAAAGCTCCATGCTGGCATAACATAATAGTGCTGAGGGAGGGAGTGGTTGATGCAGAAAACTGCATCATCTATGGCTCGCCTTACTGCTTAAATCTAAACTTTGATATAAGCAAATATCGTCTAACTACAAGAGGTACATACAATGATCATCAATACAATGAACAATAATATTCAGCTCTCACATAATATAGAATAGGATGGCGACGAATGGCTACATTCTAACCCTCTCTTCTTCTCCAGCATCACGTTCTTCATTTACTTTCAACTTTCTGTTCCCAATATCTTTTTTCAGTCTCTAAGAAGTTTTTGCTCTAAATTCAGTAAAGTGATTGTTGATGGATTTTTTTTTTTACTATGATTTATGCTTATGTTCTTCTTTGACATGCTCACTAAATTGCCAGTCCTGCCAAATGTATATTTCAGCTTTGGGGTAATTGCCAGAAAGTTTAAATAGCCACTAACTTTTTAAATCTTTCAGCAGTTTTTTCTACACCCTGAAATTGTGTGGCTTGTTCTGAGTAGTCATAGTCCTGATCATGCATTAAATGTACCCTCTAATTTGTGTGTGGTATATGTTTTTTTTTAATTTCCTTAGAAGTAATTGTTTTTTTAATTTTCATGTAAAGTAAATACTATTATATGGGGCTAGAATAAGTGTTTGTATGTGCTCTGTCTGTACTATAATAAATGAACGCATCACATCAACTGTACAATAATAATCTAAACATATTCATATGCATTTATATTAAAAAAAAAAAATATGTTATTGGTGATTATTTTATTTTTGCTGTAAAACATGTCTTACTTAATATTTTAATATTTTTGAAATATGTATGAATCAAGTAAGTTATATAAAGATCCTGTGAGTGTCTGAAGCAGAGACCTACAATATATTATAACAATTACAGATTTGTTTACATTATGAGCATATGCTCATATAAACGTATTAAATATTATCAGGAGACAATAAATTTGCTCACATGTACCAATCTAAAGACACCAGTAGGTGTCATTGTTGTATAAGTGCTATTATATAATATTAAAAAATAGCTGAACTAATAACAATAAACATACATACAGTATCTCACAGAAGTGAGTACACACCTCACATTTTTGTAAATATTTTATTATATCTTTTCATGTTTATTCTATCTTTTCATGTGACAACACTGAAGAAATGACACTTTGCTACAATGTATAGTGAGTGTACAGCTTGTATAACAGTGTAAATTTTCTGTCCCCCCAAAATAACTCAACACACAGCCATTAATGTCTAAACTGCTGACAACAAAAGTGAGTATACCCCTAAATGAAAATGTCCAAATTGGGCCCAATTAGCCATTTTCCCTCCCCGGTGTCATGTGACTCATTAGTGTTACAAGGTCTCAGGTGTGATTGGGGGAGCAAGTGTGTTAAATTTGGTGTTATCACTCTCACTCTCTCATACTGGTCATTGGAAGTTCAACATCGCACCTCATGGCAAAGAACTCTCTGAGGATCTGAAAAAAAAGAATTGTTGCTCTACATAAAGATGACCTAGGCTATACGAAGACTGCCAAGACCCTGAAACTGAGCTACAGCATGGTCGCCAAGACAGCGGTTGAACAGGACAGGTTCCACTCAGAACAGACCTCGCCATGGTTGACCAAAGAAGTTGAGTGCAGGATGTCTTTAGGAAATAGACGTATGAGTGCTGCCAGCACTGCAGAGGTTGAAGGGGGGGGGGGGGTCAGCCTGTCATTGCTCAGACCATACGCTGCACACTGCATCAAATTGGTCTGCATGGCTGTCATCCCAGAAGGAAGCCTCTTCTAAAGATGATGCACAAGAAAGCCCGCAAATAGTTTTCTGAAGACAAGCAAACTAAGGACATGGATTACTGGAACCATGTCCTGTGGTCTGATGAGACCAAGATAAACTTATTTGGTTCATATGGTGTCAAGCGTGTGTCGCGGCAAGCAAGTGAGGAGTACAAAGACAAGTGTGTCTTGCCTACAGTCAAGCATGGTGGTGGGAGTGTCATGGTCTGGGGCTGCATGAGTGCTGCTGGCACTGGGGAGCTACAGTTCATTGAGGGAACCATGAATGCCAACATGCACTGTGACATACTGAAGCAAAGCATGATCCCCCCCTTCCTTCGGAGACTGGGCCACAGGGCAGTATTCCAACATGATAACGACCCCAAAAACACCTCCAAAATGACCACTGCCTTGCTAAAGAAGCTCAGAGTAAAGGTAATTGACTGGCCAAGCATGTCTCCAGACCTAAACCCTATTGAGCATCTGTGGGGCATCCTCAAACAGAAGGTGGAGGAGTGCAAGGTCTCTAACATCCACCAGCTCCTTGTTGTCGTCATGGAGGAATGGAAGAGGACTCCAGTGGCAACCTGTGAAGCTCTGGTGAACTCCTTGCCCAAGAGGGTTAAGGCAGTGCTGGAAAATAATGGTGGCCACACAAAATATTCAAGATAATGTAGAAAGTCCCCCTGCGCTGCTATGGAACCTAAATGTTGCTCACACCCAATCCTCTACCTATGTGCGAAAAAATAAATGAAATACACAAAATGGTGTAGCGCCATGCAATAAATCCAAAATACACAATTAATATTATATGCAAATAGAAATAAAGTGCAGGATAATAATATAATAAAAATCATAAACATACAATTATTAAATACTGTGTTGAATCCTTCAGGATCTATAAAATGTCTGAAACCGTGATAAATAATAATATATCATACCGTGCAAGTATATAATAAATAGGTCCTAACCAGGGACCCTATAAGGTGACAACAACCTGTCCCAGGTGGGACCAACCCACAAAATACTATGTGATATATATAAAAGGTGGATCCCTATTCAGGGATATATATCAAATGATTCAAGTGACTGGTGTAATTATCCACATAAAATAATATAACATATACATCAATAACCAAGTGTCCAAGCAATGCAAAATATCAATATGAATCGATGTGTAGCAATGCCCTTTCTTCATTAAAGTGCTCCAGTGCTGGTGCAAATGGTGAGCATAAATCCTAGACGGCAGGCATGCCCCCTCACCTCCTTGATGCGACCCACAAGGGTCAACACGCCTTTTGGATCTCCCCGGATCCTAGGTAGTAACTCTCCAGGCCAGGCCACTCAGGTTCCACTGCCCCTTACTGGTAATCTCCTTCAGTATAAATCACTCTTCCATATACAGGTGACCGTATGTATGCCCATACATCAGCACCATATTAGGACCATAAAAGGATAAAAAACAGATCTCCCATAGTGCAACACTGTTTATTATTAAAAAAGCATATAAAAAAACGCCAAGTGTAAACTCACATATATGAAGATACAATCAGGCTTCTTACACCCACTAAGCATGGGTGTACTACATGCACTCTGGTG